CGGGAGGTGATGGGGCCCCCAGCCCGTAGCTGAGCGGCTCCCCCGTGCCGGAGGGCCCCGGGGTGGGGGGGCAGCGGGGGTCTCCTCCCCGGCTGCCCCGTGCCCGGGGCTGTTCTGCCCCCCGGGAGGGGCGCGGGGGGGGCTGTGTCACCCGGTGTCACCCCCGGGTGTTTCTGCCCCCAGGCCCGGCGCTGTGGCTCCTGTTCAGGCTCAGCTGCTCCACCAGACGCCGGCGGCCGATCGTGCAGACAGGTGAGGCAGCTCCTCCCCCGTGGGGTCGGTCTGTCCCTGTCTCTGCCAGGCGTCCTCCCCCGTCCCCCGCTGGAATCCAGGGGGAGCTGGAGCTGGGTGAGCCCTGGGGACCGGCAGCCAGGGGCCCACTGTGATCTGGGTATGGCAGAGGGGCTCTGCCTGAGCACCAGACCCCACCCTGGGGGAGACCCCTCTGCCCCAAACCCAGCCCCAGAGAGTGCGGGATTGTCCACCCTTGTCCAGCATACCAAGGATCGCTCAGGGAATCACACAGCTCCCCAGGGCAGTGGCTGATGGTGCAGGGAGGTGATCAGGAGCTCACCCCCTGTGCTGTTCCCTGCAGCGCTGTGCAGGTCCAGAAGAGCTCTGCTGTGGTCCAGAAGAAGTCCTTTGTCCCCAGCAGCCGGGGCGAGTACATTGTCACCAAGCTCGATGACCTGGTCAACTGGGCCCGGCGGGTGAGTCCGGACTCCTGGGATCCAGGGAAACACTGGAGTCCCCTCCTGCTCGGGATAAAAATAGGCTCAGAGCTCCCATGGCAGAGTTACATGGACAGAGAGTGACATTTGGGTCCAGTGACAGAGCGGGACAGAGGCTGGAGGGGCCACCACTGCCTGCGTGGTGCTCGGGGCTGTCCCTGGGGGGCTCTGACCTGTCCAGGAGGGCTCTGAGGTGGTTTGGGCAGCGTGGGAGGTGCAGGGGAGCAGCTCAGGCTGCACCCACAGCTCTCCCTGTGTCCGTTGCCCCAGAGCCGTGGGTTTTGCTCTCCCACACTTTGAACTTCTCCTGTTCCATTTCCCTTCTGTCTGATGGACTCTGTGAACTCAGACAATGCCCAGGCACCCCCAAAAGGCCAGGCAGTGGAAGGATTGGACAAAAATTTATTTCCAAAGTGGAGAACACAGGACTCAAAGAACATCAACCATTTCAAACACCAGGCCTGGGGAAAGAACCACCCCCTGTTCCCCTCAGGGCTGTTATCATCCCTGGCCCCCCTCTGTGGGGGCCCTCACACGTGTCTGCAAGGACTTGCCTTCTTCTCATACCAGGGAGAGTTTCCCTGGGACACAGGAGGGGGAAACACCTAAAACTGTCTCTGGGAAAGATTCCTCTCCCAGGCGGGAAGACCCTCCTGTGCGAAACGAGCCCTGATGTCCCTGCAGTGAATCCCCGGAGGGGTCTTCACCCTCACAGACCCTTCCCCCACGAGTCACCCGCCCCTGTCCCCGTGTCCCCACAGAGCTCCCTGTGGCCCATGACCTTCGGGCTGGCCTGCTGTGCCGTGGAGAT